GCAAATCAAGAATCCACAAACCCTCCCGTTCAGGAATTGGAAACAAGCACCCTGCCAAAGTGGAATGATCCGTCGCACCTAATGCCTGTGCGCGTTGCCTTCTACAAGCGCACACGGAGCTGAACGTACAGCGGGCCTGTCCTCATCCTGCGCGAACAACAGTGTTTCACGCAGAGCAACGGCGTGCACCCAGTGCATGACCTAAACACACTCATTTTCAAGACTCGCTGCTCAATAGGCTGAGAGATGCGGAACGTCCTAACGACCAATCCAAACTTGGTGCATACTTGCTGACCCGTACAGCTTGCAATTGCAGGAAAAAAGAATGTTGCCAGGCCCCATCCACAAACAGCAATACATGAAGTGCCAGCCCCTAAAATGTAAGAAGCGAGGGTTTATACAACCTCTCGGCGTACTCGCTGAGCCAAATACCTTACGATTACGAAAGGAAAAGGCGCTGCTACATAACGTCTAAAGATAGGCAAGCACGGGATATATATCCCTTTGATGTAAGAAATATGTGGTCCAACCACTTCTTTGTAGTGCAAGTAATTTACGTTTGTCAGGGACAGCAAGAAGCAGCTGCCTCGACCAAACGTAAACTTGGGGTCGCTCGTTGTTCAGGCAATGATGAGACTGTTCAGTTTTCACCAGGCTGCGACGATCGGAGGGCATGGGCAGAACGTTGGATCGCTGACCACGCGCTTCTACATATTACGCGTACTTGGCGAAGGTGCTTGAGAATATTAGTCGCGAGAAACGTATATCTACCGAATATGGCTAAAACAATGGTAAATCGCATGTACCCAAGCACCAAGCATTTGGACCCGTCCTAGCAAAGTAAACATCCGCCTCAATTAGATGTTGCTCGTTCTCTCAATCATGTCAATGCACAGTAGTCCTCCGGGTAGAACCGCCTCTGCATCTCTGTCGCCCTCAGCCTGGGACAAGGAAAACGCAAGTTCACCACACCACTCGGGTATCACACTGCGTATGTTCCTCTCCAACAACTGAAACAACTTGCGATGAAGCCCCGTACGCAAAATGCACGGTAATTCACCTCATTCACCCTATAAGAGAATATGAGATACTTGCAATGGCGAAGAGAAACAGACTATCGCCCCTCCTTCCTGTACCAATTCTCGCCCTCAAGAACATATGCACCTAAATGCGCAGAGTTACGCGGCTTCACCCTGCGCGCACGGCAGCGTTCAAGCAAAACAACGCCTTGCACCAAATATGTAGGCTAAGAGTATCTCACGGTCGGTGCTCTGCGCTCCCAGTGCTGGCTGCTGACTTTGGGACATTTGCCTAACTGTGAATCCAACCTAGGCTCATACTTCCTGAGCGGAACAGCATGCGACTACAAGAAAAGGCATGCCGCATCATGACTACACATTAAAGCGCACAAAATGCCCACCCCATGAATGTAAATAGCAAGCATGTTGAACAACGTGGTTCTTGAGCGCAAAACATTCATTTCATTCGTTCAAAAACTTGCGCATGAAAGGGGGGCGATAGATTGGTTGACTTTCCCCACTGGAAGTATCTGTTTTTGGGTGCTGGGCTGGAAATTATTTGGCCAACGACAACAGAAAGCAGCTGGTTCCAATAGCAGCGATTTGCAGCCACCCTTAGCTCAAGTTACGAAAAGACCTTCAAAATTATTCCAAGTTGTGGAGATCGGGGACGATTAAAGAGCGGTTGGTACCCTACCACCCAACTCTGCCTACTGCTTGTTGGTGTTACCTGTCTTACGAAACACACACGGAGAAAAGCGCAAATCAATCAGTGGTTACTGACGCTCTCAATATTTGCGCTGACTCGCGAACCAACCATTTTGACCGATCCCAACTAGCCGGATATCGAACTCGAACTACGCAGCACGTTGCACGTACCTCCAATTCCAGTCTCGGGAAAACCACAGTTGCCTGTCTTCAAACAGCGCATAGTGAGAGACCCTGCCCAACAAAAAAATACACATCAAAAAGCCTCAAACCGTTGCCCAGAAAATCATCACACACGCGCAGTGTCAAAGCTCAACGAGTCCTGATTCGTCTTGCTTGTCCATGCTTCCTGCAACAAACACGTATCCATCTGAAATCTTCGCTTCAGCTGCCACCACGCTGGGAATACTACAACGTGCCCGCAGAGATTGCCGCCGTTCAGACGCGTGTCGCCACTAGTGTGTCTCATGGTTGCTGTCCACAAGGCTTCCTGGTTACCTCCCAGCATCTACGCAAATGCGCACCCGAAGAAAGCGCTTACTTTCTGAGGCGAGCATCTTGAGAGTGCAAAAAGAAGAAGGCGTTTCCGCGCCGTATCTACAGGTAGGTGAAAGGGAATTTCATACCCCTTCGATGCGGGTAAAGGGCGCTCCAAAGCTCTTCGCTTTAAGGTTGATCGCTCCAATTCACGATATGCAGTATTCGCAAAGATCAGCTCCTTTAATTAGATGTCGAGTTAGAGTGGCCGTTTGACCAAGTGATGACGGCTCACAATTCATGTGAGATCCATCGGGCATCTGTAGAGGACTAAACTGTCTCCCGCTAGGCTCAGGGTTCCATTCGGCAGGCGCTGCAGGTGCTGCAGGTGCTACAAAAACTTCACAGCCATTTGCCAAAATCCACCGGATCTTAATGGCACATTCCTCAGTCGCACTGACATAAGCACAAAATTTCCCCACAGGTTGCAGCAAGCCAACCAACCATCCGCCGTACACTACCCACGTCGCAAGGTGCCTGAGGCAGGCCCGTGTGCAGCAGTCGTCAGCAACTCTAAACAGCCCACTTATCGTGCTCCCTTCTTCCTGCTCCTGTGGAGCACACATTGACGGTTCCTGCCGTGCAGCCATATTCTCAGCGAATCGGGGCAGCAGCGGGGAAGGAATTTGTAATGCCGGGGCTCTGTAGGCAGAATGCAGATCGTCGCTCCGAAGATACGAGAGAAGCTCACTGCCCAAGTGGAACGGTCCGTCGCTCGTCGCGTCCGTGTGCACGTAAACGCATATGGATGTCAACGCTCACCTATGTCTGCCATCAAAGTAAGCAAACGATAGATTGTACACATGGTGATGGCTCGGTCCAGATGCTTGCCACAAAAGCAGAGGTCCCTGACGCTGCGTCCAGTCTTGACTGCTGCCCTCGGAATACACCCCTAACTACCAATCCAAACTACATGCATACTTCCTGTGTCAAACAGCTTGCAACTGAGCTGGAATAAGCCGTTCCCACACCGCATCTATAAACAGGCGCACACGACCTGCATTACTCTTTAATGCAGACATCATGCGGGATACAGCCTCTTCCTGAAGGGTAATGCATTCGATTCACACCGTCAATAACAGCAAGAAGCCACCGCTTCCCATAGATGTCGATTTACGGTCTCTCTGTGCTCCAGGGATGACCTGCCATCCAAACTAGTGTGGGATAGGCAGTGAATGTGCAGAACACTGAACCTTTTCCCACGCGGCTTAGCCTATTGCAAACTCCTACTGCAGTTGCTACGAACCCCTCACAGCGAGAAGCGCAAGTCGAAGGAATGCCCACGGCTCACTCAGCAATTGCATGTACACGAACACAAAACCTCTTGGCCGACACCAACAAACTAAGCAGTCGAGTTAAACGACAAGGTGCACGTTTGTCCAGACGTGCTCACATACACCACTCCTCCAGACCGCATCGCAGCCAGCATCCAGCTCTCCCTTTCTCCGGGCTTTGAAAAACACGCATAAATAATTCTCCCCGTTTACTGCACTGCACAAATGCAGCATTATCCATCCACACAAACACCTAGTGGTGGCAACACCTATATAAACGTGCATGCCGAGACTTCGCAAAGACTCCCAATGCGGAGTACAAGGCAGTATCCTTGAAGGACCTTCCCACCTTCACACTGCGGAAACAGCGGCATCAAGCCAAAGTAATGCCTTGCATCAAATGCATGGTCTTTATATGCCTCACGTTCGCCTCACACAGTACTAGCTGCTCCGCGGATGGAGCTCCCTCACTGTGGATCCAAAATATGTGCGTACTTCCTGAAACGAAGAGTTTAGATTATAAAAGAAGACACCGTTGCCACACGCTACCTACAGTTTGGCGAAGGCTAACTGCATAATTTTTTAACCCAGCCAACATGCATCGTAACAGCCTCTTCCGTTACGGTCATTCATTGCATGCAACTTCGCCAACGAGAACGCGGAGCAGCTGGCTCTGCTGTACGTCGGCTTGTAGCCACCCTTTGTTCACCTGGTGCCAAGACCTCCAAAGCTCTTCCAGCCTGTGAGGACCACTAAGCAATGCCAGGACGCTGGACGCTGCGACCCTGATGACTATGGTTGAATGCTACAAGCCCCGCAGATCCTTCGGGAAAAAAAAACACAAGTCGACCGGCAGCTAGTGACAGGCCCACAAGCCGAATTTGTGCAAGCATGAAGCATTTCGATTGACCCCAGCATGCCGAATATCATACTGAAATGACATGCTGGACGTTCGCTTTGGAATACCCACGATCAGCTGTCTTCCGGCCCGCGTCGCCGCACGCACGCCCCA